TTTCCCTCCAGGCGAGGCTGCCCGCACCAACATGGCTCTCTACAACAACGGGGCCGACGTGCCTTCACCCCAGGAAGCCTCCAATGGCTTCTCACAGCCTGGTGCCTCGGGTACCTGGCACAAGGGCGAGGAGGAGGTGCGTCTGGTGGAGCCCAGCCTGGTGAAGAAGGCTCACCGGGAAATCCTGGACCACGAGCGCAAGCGGCGGGTGGAGCTGAAGTGCATGGAGCTGCAGGAGATGATGGAGGAGCAGGGGTGAGTGGCAGGGGATCAGGGCTGGGCTGGAGATGGAACCCATGGCTTGGGATCCTTTTGACCCACTTGCATCTTGTTCTCCCCCTTTTTTCCTCTCTAAAAATACACTTTAATGCGGCAAATGTCCCCTGTTGGAAGGAAATTCACTTTTGGGTGAATCATGGCTTTGGGGAGACTGGTGGGTTGGTTTGTGAAGCTAAATGCCTCCAAGAAATGCAGACCGAGGAGTGCATCCACACACACGTTGGAGGCCTGCTCTGGCCGCTCCACTTGGAAATCTGAGCTCCCAGCTTGTTGTGCTGGGAAAGCTGAGGCAGGAAGGAGGAACAGTCACTCGCGGTCATGCAAGCCATCAGTGCCACCCAACCTGTGCCCATGGGGAGATGGTCTGTCTCTCTCATGTTGGGGAGATAAAGGAGAGCTGGTGTTTGGTCCCAGGTGAGGCTGTTTTGGTGCTTCGGTTTGTCCTGCCTTTCTTCTCTCCCCCCAGTTTGGGGGTAAGAGGATCTCCCCGCCGTCCTGCCGTGCCCCTGGCCAGGCACCACGAGCTGCTCCCCAGACTTTCCTCTCCCCTGGGGAAGCGAAGAGCGTGGGGAAAATCCAAGGGGCCAGAGACCATCCCTACCTGTGTGGGCAGGAGGGGCTGGGGGCCAGTGAGGAGACCTCCATCCCCATCGGACCCACGGCCGTGCTGTTGGCTGCCCCATAGCTCTGGCACCAGCCAAACGGCCTGATCCCCCTGACAGCTCACTAAAACCTGATGGATGGAGCAAATTCTTCAGTGCACGCGGGTAGACGGGGACCAGTATCAGCTGGGGAGAAGGAAAATGGATTGAGGGAAGGCTTCGCCAAGGCTTTCATTAAGAGCGCAAGCGTGACCTAGAATTAAATTGTCTCACACAGACTGGAATAATGATTGTGCCTAATTTGTCGTTATGGAAATAAATAAGGCTGACCTGGCGCCTTGGGGAGCCCAGAGCTTCCTATCGAGTTCCCGCGCCCTACTAGGGATCTTACTACTAGTAGTATCATTACTGCGATGGGTAATAGCAATATTGCAACCAGTATTGTTGTTACTGCTGTAATTGCCTTTGCTATTATTAAGGCTATTAATAACGATGATGACGGTGATACACCGAAATGATAATATAATTACAGTAATAATCTTGGTCAACCTGGTTAATCCTCCGCCTGCTCTTCCCCTCCGCACAAGGGCTCTCGGGGGGGGGGGTTACACGAGAAGCGCTTTGCACCCCTGCGGTTCTTGCCTGGGCCAGGGGCTGTGTCCTGGCCACAGCCTCAGGGCAGTTATTGGCAAGGGCGAGGTCCCCGGGACGAGAGGGTGTGAGAGCCGAGGGGGTTTGGCGGGGATTTAAGCACTCCCTTATCTGCTTAAACGCGGCCGGCTCCTCCTGCCTGCGCTGTATCTGGCTGCTGCTCGCTCCGGGCTGCCTGCGCCGTTATCCCTGCCTGCAGGCTGGATTTCTCATCCAGAAATGAAGCATCAGCATTTTTTCTTTCTTTCCCAAACCCGTTCTATGCGTTAAACACAAAACCAAAATCCCTCCAACGGGGTTAGAAGCAGCGCTGAGGGCGGGGGGGTGCCTCCGCCTCCGTCACAGGACCACTGGGTGCAGGGCGGGGGGGGTTCCTTGCCTTGGCCTTGTCCCCCGCAGATTTGCTAACGGCCCAGCCGCGGTGGCCCATCTGTCACCTCCTGTTTGGCCTCACGTCCCCTCTCCGAGAGCATCAGCCACGTTCGCAATACGCCACAGCAAATGCTCGTCGTCTTGGGCAGACATCTTCCTGCTGCCGCGGCCCGGCTGATGGCCGCGGGGTGGCCAGGGCTG